CTAAGTATAACTCCTAATACACCACCTCCCCGTCGGGGCAGAGACTGGTGACCAAGCTTTCAACACATGAGCCTTTAGGGGTGGAGAGGGGATTTAAGATCCAAATCACAGCATATATGATGCTTACATATTTAAAATATTACATTCTAAAATATAAATTTATTGTATGCTTAGGCATCTATGATAGTCTCCATGGCTACAAGAGCTGCACAGAAGGTAATTGCTATTGTAAATTCTGAATTGTATTGGGGAAGGTGGGAGAAAGAGGAGAGGAAAGGAAAAGGAAAAATGATCAAAATGCCATATATATATATATATATATATATATATATATATATATACTAACTCACCAAGATGATTACAAGTATGTATTGCAGATGTATTGAAAATTAAAAGAAAATAAAAAACAAAGACAGTACTGGATTGTGAAGGGCTTTGTGTACCCTTGCTGTACAGAAAGCAATGTGTGGCAAACACATCAGATTTACATGTTGCTATAGAGAGAATGGAGTGAAATAATCACACTTGTGTTTTAATATGATATTGACATTTATAATCATTATTCTGAGGCTTAGCTTTTACAAGGCTAACGGGATGCTGTCCTTTGAAAATGGTAAACAGTTAATCAAAAGCATTAGGGCCCAAAAGTTACCTGATTTTGGTGCAAGGCCCTCATAATTTTCCTTTTATAAAGCAAGTGTTCACCCTGAAAGACGTTATAAAGAGTGAGAGAGGGAACAATAAGGTCAATATTGTGAATTGTAATTAGCTGATTTGGTTTCTGGGCTAAATTCCAGGCGGTGCTAATTCCTCAGTCCTAGCTGGCAATTCCTCCACTTTGACCTGTTACCTTTTTTTCAACACTCTGGAGCTTCAGTCTCTCCTCTTAAGATTTTTGCTTTAATAATAGCTTTCTAGTTTTGGATTTGTTTTGTTAATATGTGAGGGTTAGACTAATCAGCAGCTGTCTGTGTAAAATGGTTTAAAAGTATACTATAATCCTTCTTCAATGCTGGAGTTGTCTCTAAAATGGGAGTAATTTAAGACCTAGAGAAGTAAACTCACTGGCAGAGTTTTAAAGGTTTTTTTTTTAATTGCACTTTGTTTTAAACTGAGCCACCAGAGAATACAGGGGGCATTGTACAAGAGGTTGAAAAATGGCCTCTTAAAAATTAGCTACAGGTCTTAGCCAGGGTCATCCAGAAGGGTTTAGCTATTCATCCGCAAGTTCTTCTATAATTAATCTGGGCTTTGGCTTTCTCCTTTTTCATGAGGTTGTGGAAGTAGCTTTTAAAGAATTAAAGATACCACGCCACTTCATTTTGCTTCAGTTCAGTAGCACATTTATCAAATGCCTACTGTGTTTCAGATACTACTTTAAATGCAGTGGGGTTCAAGGATATATAAGATGCAGTCTCTTGGCAGCTTACAGTCGGCTGGTAGAGAGAAGTCATATATATAATTAAGTTATACCAGGTTGCATACAAAAAGTGGCATTAGGGGGTTGAGATAAAAGGAGTAATGGTGGGAGTGCGGTCCACCAAGAAGACTTTAATAAGGACATAGCATTTGAACTTGGCTTAAAAGTTTAGAAAGCTTTCAATGGAAATGTAGAACAACTCATAGTATGTTCTCAGGTCAGATTTACTGAAGGTATTAATAAAAGGCTCAGATTTAGATGTGCTTGAGAAATAGCAAATTCACTACCCTACCTAACCACACATTTCCCTTCTGTAAAAAATTCTAATTCAAGTAGTGCATGACATATACAAAGGATGCATTCTTGGAAATTAACATAAAATGCTTATGAATTTTCCCATAAGAAATGATGGAGCGAGAGGAGATGGGGGGTTTTGGCAAAACTGAAGTGATGTTATAGGCTCGTTTTGCAGTTCTCAAAGAATGGTTTGTGGGCCCCGGGAGTCCATGAAACACCGGAATCGACAAGGCCAAAACTATTTGCATAATACCAAAGTGTGATTTGTGTTTTACTGTGTTGATATTTGCACCAGTGGTACAAGAGCAATGACCATTGACACTGCTGTATGAATCAAGGTTAGTAGCAGCAAAGTGTACAAGTAGTCGTAATCATTACTGCTGTATACTTGCAGGAAAATAAAAGATACTTTCACTTTAAGGACATTTGCCAACACTGTAAAACTGTTATTAATTTTATTAAACATCAACCCTTGAGTATGATTTTAATAGTCTGCTATTAAATGAGAAGTACACTTACTGGATTTATGCTGTAAAGTGTGTGTCAACATGTGTCTCAGAGAAAAGCACTTGTGAGAATATTTGGTGAGCCAAACCAGCCTCTTTTTTCATTTTGACTCAAGAGAATGACTGACAAACTATGGCGCTGCAGACTTGAGTATATGCTAGACATTTCCTTGGAAAGGAACAAAGAGAGCCTGTCAGCTCAAGGAAAACAACTGCTAGTATTTATTACCAATGAGAAAATCCTAGCTTTCAAGAGAAAACTAAAAGTTTTGAAAACTTGCATCTGCCACCATAAGCTTTGGAGCTTCCCAACACTTTTTGCTTTTCTGTTGAGATCAGAGGTGATATTTAATGAATGAGATTTTTTTCATACCATGTAATAAAAGGAGTCACCATTTGGAGGACATACATAGCTCAGTGGGCCAATATTTCCCACATGATCCATGAAAGATGATATAAAACAAGTAAACGGCTCATTCAAATTTCAAAACATACCAAAGGGTTTAATGTAACAGGGCATGAAATGGTCATTGATATGGTTTCATATTGCACATCACACCATTTATTGAGCTTTTGGTGTGTATGGGCTATCCACAATTATCAGAAAGGTTACTAAAATACTTCCCTCTCTTTTCCCACCACATATTTGTGGGAGGCTGGATTTTCTGTGAATGTTTCACCCAAAACAACACGTCACAAAAGACTGAATGGAGAAGCAGATATAATAATCATCTATTTTACATTAAGCTGGACCTTTAAAAGACTTTCCCAGATATAAAACCACTCCACCCTTCCAACGAATTGTTTTACATCTAAGAAAATATCCTAATTTTTCCTTTTAAAATGTTTATGTTAGTATATCATGGGTTTATTATTATGTTTACCTGAGCTATAAATTAATTTTTAAAATTTTTTTCAGTTATAAATTTGAAGATGAGAAATATTGATAATTAGAACTCGCACAAACAAACATTCCCTGGGATTCTTAGTAACAGTTTAAAGGAGTCTTGAGGGACAGAGGATGAAGTTTGCAGGGGCAAAGTCCTGGGTTCAAGCCCTAGTACCAAGAATGAAATAAAATAAAGGAGTCCCCCAAAAAGTTTGAGAGCCAGTTATTTTAGCCTACACTGATATGCTGTGAATTCAGATATGTGGGATGATGGGCTAGGAGAGGTGTAAGAGTTTGCAAGGGGCAGAGTGTCAGAGTGGCGAAGTGGAGACATGTTGGCTTGAGAGATAGAAAGGACACTGGTTTCTCCAACATTGTTAGGGGTTGTTGGCCCAGAAAGACCCTTATGCACTTTCTTTGCATAAAAAAAATTACCCGTGGAGCCCCATTTCTCTATGACGTATAGTTTTTTCTAAGTAGCTCTTACTTACCGTAGCAGCTAAATCACAGGTGGCAAACATAAAAGTGTACTTCACAGTGACAATAAACAGAGATAATGGAAACCACAGACACCAAACCATGCCCCTGTATGCAGTATTTTTTTTTTCCTGGCTACCTCTTCCACAATCACAATAATCACAGTTTCTGTATATCCAGCAGTTTTTGATGGCTGTCGTGTAAGGAAGAGGGGACAGTGGGACGGAGACTTAGAACTAGAAGTGGATGATGGGACAAAAGCTAAACACAGGGCATTAAAATGAAGCCTTGGGAAGAAATGGTGAGGAAAAAGAAAGTGCAGTGTGACAGCAGCCCTCAGGGATCGTTCACACTGCAGGCTGTGTCTCTGAGTCAGTAGGGAGGTAGGAGCCCCATCAAATTAGGAAGGCATTGACCATAAGGACTGAAAAGCCAGGAACTGAAGAATAAAACAAATAATGTCTCTTAATAAGCATAGCTTAATTCAGATTCACTTTGCTTTACTGTATCTTTGCTTTACTGCATCTTTCTGAAATTGTGGAAGAAGGAAATATTTAAAACTTTGCCTTTAAAAGTATAGTATGCTAGAGGTAAGTTAGTGGGGGTTGTTTGAGGTTTGAGGCATTTTGTTATACTGAACAACTACAACTGAATGTAGCCACAGAAGGTACAAGAAACAGAACTCATTGCTGGCATTGGGAGGTCACCTGAAATTTTAAAGAAATAAATGTGTATTATCTTTTATTTCAAAAAGTTTTCTAGTATTTAATCCAGGACATGAAGGTTATAAGGATTCATTTGAAGTGTATAAAAGGGCACTGCTGGTATTTTAATTTGGCGAGAGGCATTTATTATTTTAATTTAGTGAATGTAAATATGGTCCTCAGGTACTTTGTTTTTTTTTTTGTTTTGCTTTGTTTTGTTTTCCTGTACTGGGAATCAAACTCATGACCTCGCGCTTGCCAGGCAGGCGCTGTGCCGCTGAGCTAAACGCCCAGCCCCCTCAGGGACTTTCATAGTGATCTTTTCTGATCTTGGTGACCTCCTGGCCTATACATGTGCTTTGCTGATCATTTCTTAAGTCCCTTGTCAATGTGCTCTCCTGCCTTAGAGATTTCTAGAAACTTAGATCTCACGGTATGGGAAGATCTCATGTGATGTACTTTGTGGCTACTGTGTGATGTCAGTAGAGTGAAGCATTGGAGACTCATGTCAAATGCTATGGAAGACTCCAGGAGTGGGAAACTCTAAAAAGAATAAGCAGTTTATACCTATTTAAATTTTATAACTATTTTTAAAGCTTCTATGTGATTTATTCAACATATTTTACTGCCTCCTGCTAGGAATACACTATTCTACACCTACTGGAGAACTATGAAGAGCCTCTGCATTTCTGGTTGTTTTCTTTCAGCTCCTGAGAACAATGTCTGTGCCCAAAGGTAGAGCTCTGGAGAAAACTCTGGATGAGGAAGGGTTTGGAAGTGGAGACTGTGGGGACGATGAGGATGAATGCATCGGAGGCTCTGGTGATGGAATGATGAAAGTGAAGAATCAGCTGCGCTTCCTTGCAGGTAACTCATTCATCCTCTTGTTAGCTCGAAGCTGAGCTAAAAAATGGTGGCACCCGGGAATTAAAGGTCAATTGAATCTGCTCTCTATACCTCCCCTAAAATCCCAGCAACACGCAAGGAATGACTACACTCTAGAAAAATGAAGTTTTCAGGTCGCCTTTTTTTTATCTCTGGCCTTGAGTAGGTTAAAAAGGTAACTTCCTGTCTTTGTCTAAAATGAACTGACCTAATCAGTTGGCTCTGTTCCCGTTAGACATTTCCTTGGTTCTTTTCAGTTATAAAAGGAAGCGCAACCTTGGGAATCTTATGAAAATTAGTGATGGGACAACTTTCAAAGAAGAGCCATAAGCTGACCCTCTCTTCTTTCAACATCATGTTAGTTTTATTTTCTTTCTCACAAGCTGTGATGTGTTACTGCAGAGCTACACAAAACAGCAATAACAGCAGAAAAGATTGCAGAGGACTCCAAGAAGGCAAACCAAAAATTGCCTCACATTTCTATTATGTATCATAGTTTACACAGACCTTTAATATAGATAAGCATGCTTCCATTTTACAGGTAAGAAAACTGGGGCTCAGAGAAGCAATGAGGTTTCCCTAAATGGAAGATTTTGAAGTCTAATTTGGGTCCTGAGACTTCCAGTGCCATGCCCTTTTCTCTGCAGTAGTTTTCTCGGTGAAACATCTTATCGCCCAGTCGCTGAGATGCTATTCATGCTCCTGTTTCCCTTCCAGCTCCATTGCTTTACTAGCTCTTCTCAGTCCTACACTGAAACTGGCTATCATCCAGAGGTCTCTTTTTTTTTTTTTTTTTTTGGTACCGGGAATCAAACTCAGGACCTTGCACTTGCCAGGCAGGGACTTGTGCCACTGAGCTATATCCCCGGCTAGAGGTCTCTTCTTAAACATCTTTTCTTTCTCCAGAGAAAATCCAGATCTTATCCACACTCCCTCTTCCAACTATTTTTTTAATTACTCAACTTCTATTTTTCTCACTGCAGGAAAAGGAAACTAACAGGAGATCTATCTTCTTAACTAAATTTTTATGTGCATGATACAGTATTATTAGCTCTAGGCACAATGTTACACTGTATTAAGATCTTTAGAACTTATTTATCTTATGTAACTGGAATTTTACACCTGTTGATTAGCAAATCATCATTTTCCCTCTTCTACCCCCTGCAACTATTTTACTTCCTACGTCTATGATTTTTTTCTTTTTTTGGTTTTAGAGACCTCATATAAAATAGAATCAAGCAGTATTTGCGCTTCTGCAATTGGCTTATTTCATTTAGCATAATGTCCTTAGGTTTCCACCATGTGTATCATAGGGAAGAATTTCCTTCATTTTTTAAGGCAGAATAATATTCTATTATATGTAAATACCAAGGTTTTGTTACCTACTCATCCAGTGAGGAACATTGGAGTTGTTTTTACCTCTTGACTATTGCATATGATGTTACAATGAACAATCTTCATTATACCACTATGAGGATAATTTAGAAAACCATTACCACCAGTCTTGACTGCTCTGCTGAGCTATTGTCTCACATCTCCGGTGGCCTACTAAACATTTCTGTCTGACATCCTACCATTACCCTGAGTTTGTTGTGTCATAAATCAGATATATTGACTGGTTCTCTCGAACTGGTTGTCCCTTAATATCCTTATTTTTGTAATGCCATTGTCATTCTCCCAGTCACTGAGGCTTAAGTTAAAGTGATCTTTGATTGTTTCTTTTCCTTTGTCCCTTGTATGCAATTGGGCCCCAAATCCCTGTTGATTCTTTCTTTGCTATTTTTTCTACTTCTGTCACTGCTTCTTTTCTATGCCCTGCCCCCACCTTCCGGCATATGCTACTGCAATCATATCCTAAGTGATCTCCAGGCTTCTAGACTAAGGTAGGAGTATTGAAAGCCTTAGGCTAGCAGATTAGAGAACAAAGAATCAGGGACCCAGGCAGAAGATTCCATCAATTCATCATGCACAGATGCCAGGTTAATCTTTCTAAAGCATCTCATACCTCTCCCTAGCTCAGCTGCCTTGATCCTGTCCCCACTGCCTTGAGGATAAAGCTCAGATCCTTAACAGAATTCTTAGAGAGCCTTCTGGTCTAACCTAAACTATGCTTCTGGCTTTATTTCCTACCATTAACCCCATAGGACCCTTCCACTTTGGTTTTTAAAGAAAAGTAGTATTTGTACCCTATGAACACGTAAACATTGCCCATGGTTATTTCTGTATAAATGCTTCTCTTTTCTTCTGAAATTGTACTTATCTTTCAAAATACAATACAGGTATGATGCAGTGAAAAGGAAATAGTTCTAGGGGTAGAGCAAACCTGTATTTGAATTCTTACTCTAGTTCTAATGAACTAGTATGATCTGGAATAAGTTCATCAATCTCCTATGTCTCCATTACCTCATCCCATCAAATGGGGGTCATAACCCGAACTTCAATGGACTACTGCAGGATTAAATCAAGTGGAGAAATTTATAAAGCATCTAGCCCAGTGTCTGGCATATTCTAGATGCTCTATAATTGTTAGTTTCCCTCCATGATATCTTTTCCAACCATCTCAGTCCATGGTTCTATCTCCTGAATGACTGAAATAAATTTGGCCAATACTTCCAAGAAATTTTCTGCAGTGACTCTCAGGTTCCATGTGACAAAAAATGATCATGCAGATCCTGACATCCTAGTAGGAGAGTGTTGATGAAGTATAAAAAGTAAGAATAATAGAAGTTAATATTTATTTGATGCTTTCAATGTTTCAAACGCTGTGCCAGAACTTGCATGCATTGTCTCATACTGCACTGTCTTGCATTTCACAGCACCACTCTGAATTAGGGTTATTATTCTTGTTATTTCACACATGAGAAAACTGATATTAGAAGAGGTAGAGTGACTTGCCTAAGATCATGCAATCATAAGGGCAGAATTCAGAGCTAGGTTTCAGAGGCCTCTCCTTGAAAAAGTCTACTCAGACTCTTCTTTCTCTGCTCATTAATATAGTCATAAAAGACTGATGTCAGTTTGATATCTTCATCCTACAGATTGAACATCCCAGATCTGAAAATCTGGAATCCCGAATATTGTGAAGCCACACAATTTTGAGTGCTGAGATGGTGCTCTAAAGGATTTAAATCTTGGGACCTCTGATATTCTGGATTTTTTAATTAGAGCTTCTCAACCAGTAATGTCTATAAAATATTCCAAAATCTATGAAGAAATCCAAAACATCCAATACTTCTGGTCCTAAGCATTTTGGATAAGAGATTCTCAACCTATACCTATAAAGGGTTATCTAAACATTTCCCAGGTGATTCACCAAAATGTTAATAAGTCCCAGTGGTGATCCCTGGGACACATCATTGTTCATACCTCTCCAGAAAAGTCCTTGCTTATTCCTGCTCATGATTCCCTGTCCATTTCAAAATACTGTTGCACAAGTCCATAAGTTAACTTTTTTTATTTTAAAGAGAATAATAAAAGAAGAACAGCAGCAAAATACAAACAAAAGAAAGCAGGAACATTAAAAATGATACGGGTTTTCAAGCCAAATGATAGGACTTAACAGTGGTTGTTATATTACATATTGTTATCCTCAGTGATGTTGCTCAGATTACCAGATATAAGAATGGAAGATTCATCAAACTATTAAAGGGAATAAGAAAATAATAATTTAAAAAAACACTTGAGACAATATGGAGTTTCACTAGACAAGATGGTAGGTATTCACCAATGGTTTTTGTATTGCATATTGTTGTCTTCATATCAGCTTCTCAGACAAGCAGACATGCTTAATGCAAAATTGGTCAAAATTTAAAAATTTTAAGCATTAACTTTTCCTTTCAATAAACCACCAGACTTCAACAGTACAGTTATCCCAGCTATCCATATATATATGTTTAGTTCTTTTTTTCTTTCTCATCTTAGTTAACTTTTTAAAACAGTGTTTGGTATAGTGGGACCTTGTCAAGGGCCTTTTCAGAACCTACGTAAAATTCATCCTGGGTTTCCCTTCGTCCACATGCCCATTGATTGTCTTCTAATCAACCTGTTAGGCATGTTTAACCCTGAATGTTTTACAAACTATAAAACACTATATACAAAAGGTGGTTAATTTAATTTACAGGAAAAATTATACCTTGCCTCTCATATATTACCCTTGGCTAACATGATCAGTGAATCTACCAGCCTGAAGTTCCTTGGGTCACCTTTAAAATGCCCCTCATAGGAAAGAGAACCATTGCCAGTTTGTCAGGCTCATGGCAAAATAGTTATTTGGCATGAAAAACTCTAAAATTTGGTAATCTGTTACATAATTTTACCCAAAATCTTGGCAGATGCCACCCTGTCTTGGTGATTCATCAACAGCCATTTCCTTAGTCAACTCAACTTAGAACATCATGTGCATTTACCAGCATTTCACTTACCATTCCAAATTGCCTCCTCCAAAAGAAAACTCGGAATAAACAGCGCGGCTCAAATTATGTTCAGACTCTCTTATATCCTCCTTTTGTGCCTGAGCAGACGTTTTGCACCATCACAAGCATGTAATCCTATTGGCTGGCTTCCCTGGCTCAGTTGTTCCCATCTTTTGATGCACTGAAAAATTACAGGGCTCCCAGGTTCTATTCTTGGCTTTGCTTCAAATTTCCAACCGTCCTAAGGCAAGCCCCTTTCACTTGTGAGACGTCAGATTCTCTATTTCTAAAAGAGAATGCCCAGACAACTTTTGCAGGCCGTTCTAGTACCAGCAGTCTGTGATTCTGTGATTCTATGATTCTGTTCATTGCTTTCTCTTCATTCCCTGGGGAACTACTTATCAGAGTCTTTTAGGGATATGTTCTGTTGCATTTTCATCTAACTTTGCTAGCTCATTGTTCTTTTCTCCAAAGCTGTATTTCCACTTAGAAAAGATCTAATTTTCCCTGTTTGAACCACCCAGATTTTTCTAGTCTGGCAAGCCAGGATATGTACACCGGGCCCTTAGC